TATAGTTAAAGTGCTGATATATTGCACTAGAATGGGACTAAATAATGGGACATACAACCTTTATAATTCTACAGGAATTCATCTGATCTCTTCATAGTTGTAGTCTGGTTGTTAGTACACATACTGATCATTATTCTTAATATTAAAAATCATTGACCAACACAGTTTACCATCTTTGTGAAATACAGGACTCTGGAGCAAGGGTTAGTTAAAAATGGATAGTATAAATATGTTCATTCTAGAGATTAGAACTATGTATTTCTGGAGCCATAGGAAGCAAAATATTAACTAGATAATGAAAGCATTTTATTTCTTATGTACTACATTCTTTTGGATCCTGTATAACTACCTGACTTCATTAATGTTTTAAAATAATATATTTAACATCTTATGGCAGTCTGATACTTTGAGCTGTTTTAGATAAGTTTACACAGGATTGTTGGATCCAGATTGTGCCCCATGCCAGACTCGTCTCACGCCTGTCCTGTGTTTATGTAGATCTCTGCTCTTGGTGATTTCCTGCTCTATGCTGGAAGTCCCAAACTTTCACCACTGACTGGAAGAGAAGCTAATAGCAAATAAACTCCTAATTTAGCACTCCTCTAAGAGCTTGTAGTTAGTAGTCTCTACCAGCTTTACATGATCTTTTCTTGATTTGAGTAACTGTGGGTTAAGATATAATTTATTTTCATATCAGGTTTTAGACTTTGCTTAGCCTAGATGTCTTATATTTACTAGCCATCAGACAATGTACAGAACTGGACTGAGCATGAACTAAGAGTCCAGGGTCCATCTGCAGAGTGCCCATACCAGAGTTACAGTGACATGCCACTTGGCTTCTTTCACAAGTTGACCCCATATACTTCAGATTCTGTACTGCATGCAGTGCTCTCAGCCAGTGACTTCTAGTTCTGTGTTCAGGGACTATGCTGGGAATGATGTATACTAAACAGAAAATTTTGGTGTTGGAATATCTGAATTTCAGGTGCGTAGCCTTAAACTATACAAATTATGGTGATGCATGGAGATAGTGTGGTGTCCCAGAGGATGACTCAGAACTATCCACTGGGCTGCCTAGAGTTTGGGACATAGGCTCAGGGACTTAGGCACCTCGTATAAGGCTGCAGGAGCCTTTTTAGGTACCAGCTATACCACTGCTAATGAAGTTTAAAATGAGAGTTTTTTTCTTTCCAAATAAATAATAAGATTTGAGCTCATCTCATTGATGACTTATTCAAGTAAGATAATTTCCTTTATTAACTATGTCTGGTTTTGTACATTAAATCTACCCTTAGTGCAAACATATACTGCCTAGCTACACACTGCCCTCAGGGAGAGAGAATTTATAGTTAGACTGCAAATGAAGTTCACATGGTATTCAGGAATTCATGAGATGATAACTTCCTGAAAATGCTATCTACACAAAACCCAAAAAATCAAGGTAAGGAAACTCAGAGATAAGACTGCAAGACTGTTCAAGGAGCAGTTCTAACTAGGAATCAAAAAACTTCTAACTCAGTGCTGGGAGAGAGCTTCTCTGTACTTGAAGCATTCTATCTGGAAGTGAAACCAAGGACATTTGCCTTACTACTTTATGAACTCATTTAAAGTTCTCCAGATGCTCCCCACATCTATGGGACATATAGAGCTAAGCAGTCATAATTGCTCTTTAAAGCCTGAAACTAGGGCAGATTAACTTGATTAGACTGTCATTAAGGACAGACAAGGACTCGAAGTTACTTCTGTCTCATGTGTCCACCCACAGAGAGTAGACCAGAGAGAATTTGGCAGCTAATATTCAGTCATTCAAGCCCTATCGTTTAGGGAGAAAGAAATATTGGGCTCGTTTGATTTGCATTTTAATTTTCCTGGAGTGGAAAAACAAATAAAAGAAATCAAAGAAAAAGCACATGGTTTAATATAGAATAATCAAAACCATCTGTAAGTAGTTCTGCTTTACTAGTCCTTTCAAGGGCAGGTATCTGGTTAATTTAGTATGGCAGCCTCAATTAAACAGCCCCTAGTAGCATGTTGTGGCTAATTGCTTACTGTTTACCAGAGCCTTCTTTTTTTCTTTGAAAAAGGATCCTTCCTTTCTCCAAAGCATGCCTGTTTTAGATTGAAGTTAGTACTTTGAGTCTGATTATTTGAATTTAAGATGCCCAAAGCAATTAAAAAAAAGGTCAAATAAATGAATTTACACTCCTTGCCATCTGTTTAGCAGGTGAGGAAAGAACATATGCTATTTTCTTAGTTTATTAGAGAATTATAATACACTTTAGATTTAAAATGTGCTATAACAAAGTTAGCACTCATTATCAGTAGCTCTTAGAGTTTGTGTGCAGGATAGCAAAAAGAAATTTGTCTATCTGGAGTATTCACAATAGACTTTGGGGTTTGCATACTTTATTACTTAAGGAAAAACCTCTATTTTTTGTCATTTCCTTCTGCTGCCCTGAAACAACTGGTTTGTGTTGCATTCTTCATGTGTTTAGTTCAACAACAATGAATATCTTATATCCATTTTAATTTTAAAAAATCCAGATGGTTTATGGAAAATGAAAAATAATAATTAAAAAAATTATGTTAAAATTCTGCTATAGCCCTTTGCATTCAGTGGAAGAATTTTAAGCCTTCAGTGTAAATCCCAGAGTCCGACGCTGGAGTCTAGCACACCCAAATTGCTTCAACATTTCCAAGAGCTATTCCACCTCTGTAGGGAAAACCTTACTTTTCAACCCTGCCAACCCACTGAGATCACTGAAAACAGGAGGAGTTGTTTCAGTTTGGGCCTTCTTGAATATATAACTACTTTACTGAAATACCCGAAGAAAGCTTAAAGAAAACTTGAGTGAAAATCTCTAAAACATAATTTTTCCCAGGTTAAGTTATAAGAAAGTAGCAGCCTCACCTCACAACCCTTGCCACTACCACAAGCACATTCCTGCTCTCTGCATTGCCTGTCTCCTGTCTCAGTGTGCAGATTACATCTGCATTTAACACTCATGGAAAACCTATTTTCAGCTGCTTTCCACAGCCATGGTTGAGCCCAGGCAGGAGGCACACAGTTCCTGAATTGAGTTGTCATAGCTACTCTGAGCACACCAAATTACTAGAAAATTCTGGTCTTTGGAGAAAGGAAGCCATGCTTCTAGATGCAACAGAGGGCTGATTCTCTGGTTCACAGCCCAAGGGCAACACCTCTAGAAATCCCATACAACAAAAAGTTCTGTTTTCAGGGTTGCCAGTTATTCTGATTCAAAATTTAATTATAGTTAAAGAAATTTCAAGAGTACAGTTTGAAAAAATTCCAGTGTTTTGTTCTGAAAAAATCCAACCCAAGAGGTAGAGTTGTTGGACATCCCCCCTGTTTTCCCTGCTTAAAATTGTTTGAAGAACATCGCACAGATAATTTCTTTCAGCTTGAAAATGCAGTTTTCAAGAAGAAAAATTTTCCCTGTGAAATTTTGCTAATCTCTCACATGTACAGAGAATGCCTGAAAGATCCCTCCAGCACAGTTTTAAATATTTCTTTGCCTCTTAATGAAGAACTTTACTGGTGTCAGGCACTGGCTGCCACTGGTTTTAGGCGTAGGCAGTTGTTTAGAGAAGCACCTCAGAACAACAAATTGGCTGTAGTGCTCGTGACTAGTAGTAGTAGTAATGGTGCTTGTTCTGTGGGTGCTAGGACATTGGAAAGCCATCAGTACTGCTGGGGCATGGCAATTTCCAGAGGCAGCAGTTACTGCTCCCATTCTCACAAAAGAATCAGCAAATCTGATTTTCCAGGGTTTTCCACAGCTCCACTTTGTTAGTAAACAGTTTTGTCAACGGGATGTGATCCATTGTGGTTGGGCAGCAAAAATTATTCTTCTTACACTGCCTTGTCCTTTTTTTATTTGCATTTCTCACATTACAAGGAGTGTGAATGTGTGATGCCTAAATCAGATGAGAGATTGAACATCTTGTCTAGATTTAGGTGGAAACAAAGTGCCTGTACTCCTCTTCATTACCCGAAAAGCCCCCAGTTCTGATAGGGCTGTGTGGTGGATCACCCTTTTCAAAGCAGGAAAACACTGACAGTTTCCTTCCAAGTACAAAGAAGGTTCAAACCTGCATTTCCTCTCCTCACAGAGGCAGGCAAAGCCTGTGTGTATTCAAGAGGCCACTGCAAGAATGCTGGCAGTGTTTGTGTTTGAGCATTAAGGCATCACACAGTGTGTTACAGAAACTGTCCATGCAGATGGTAGAGGGGCCTGACTCATGTGGACACAGAGTGAGACAGTGAATGCCCCTAAAACTTGCTGCAGATTCAAGTTCCCTCCTGTACAGAAAGAACCACATTTCCAGCACAGGAAGATCCAGGACCTGGGTCAGAGGAATGATAGACACTGCATCGAGCTGCAGTCTTGCTGTCCAGTCGCTTGAAGATATCAATCCATGCATGGCTATTCCAGCAACTTTAGGCAGCCTGAGCTGGGGCAGCCAAAAATAGTCACTGCCTTCTCCAAGATTGTCATGCATTCTACATAGATACAAGTCCTGTTAACTCTTGAGCACGATACATTCATCACTTTTAACCTATCTGTAACCTCACTTGTGTGATGAAAAGAATTCAGAATGAAACACAAACAACGTTTAAGAAAGCCATACAACACCGGAAAGGGAGATGTTGACAAAGAACATTGAGATGTGCTTACAAAAGCTTTCTTCACTACCTGATTGTGACCATGGAAACTCGCTGATGCAAAACCCTGTGATGCTGCAGCCTGCTCTTTCAAGCCATTCTTATTTGATCTACTTTGCGGATAATCTGAAAGACTCTTCAGTTTATTGGGAAAACAATGCGGGGGTGGGGAATGCAGGGAACAGCAGAGTAACAAAGCATGGAGTACTTACTGTCTTTTTTGCCTCAGTCTTTAATAGTAAGACTGGTTGTTCTTTGGGTACCCAGCCCTCTGATCTGGAAGAGAATGAAGCTCTGTAATGCAAGGGGAAATGGTCAATTAGCTCACTTGGTTAGAGCATGATGCTAATAATGCCAGGGTTGTGGGTTCAATCCTCATATGGGCCCTTCACTTAAGAGCTGGTCTTGGTGATCCTTGTGGATCAGAATATTCTGTGGTTCTGTGGCCTTCTATACTTATACATACATGTGTCTGTGGGGCTGGATGGGACCCACCTCAAGGGTACTGAGGGAGCCGAGGGAAGTGTTCACTGAGCCAGTCAGCATCATTTCTCAGCAAACCTGGCTGACTGGGAATGTCCCAGTTGACTGGAAGCTAACAAATGTGTTGCACATCTCCAAGAAGGCTGGAAGTATGATTCAGGGAACTACAGACCTTTTAGTCTGACCTCAGTGCTGGAGAAGCTCGTGGAGCAGATCATCCTGAGTGCCATCATGCAGCATATGCAGGACAACCAGAGGATTTGGACTAGCCAGCATGGGTGTATGAAAGGCAGGTCCTGCCTGACAAACCTGATGTCCTTCTATGACAGGGTAGATGAGGGCTGTGGATGTCACCTGTCTGAACCTCAGTAAAGCCTTTGACATTGTTTCCCAAAGCATTCTACAGGAGAAAGTGCTTGTGGCTTGGACAAATGCCCTCTCTGCTGGGTGAAAAATAGGCTGGATGGCTGAGCCTGGAGGGTGGTGATGAACGGAGGGAAATTTGGCTGGCGACCGGTCACCAGTGGTGTTTCCCAGGGCTCACTATTGGGGTCAGTCTTGTTTAATACCTTTATCACTGATCTGGAGGAGGGGATTGAAGGCATCCTTGGTAAGCAAATGACACCAAGTTGGGTGGGAGTGTTGATCTGCTGTATGGGAGGAGGGCTCTGCAGAAGGATATGGAACAGCTGGGATGATGGCCTGAGGCCAATCACATGACTTTCAATAAAATAAAGTGACAGATCCTGTACTTGGGTCACAACAACCTCAGTAGAGCAACAGGCTGGAGGAAGAGTGGCTGGAAAGTTGCTTGGACAAGAAGGACCTGGGTGTGCTGGCTGAACATGAGCCAGTGTGTGCCAGGTGGCGAAGAAGGACAATGTCATCCTGGCCTGTATCAGGACAAAGGAAGGGATTGCCCCCCTGTGCTCGGTTGAGGTCGTATCTCAAATACTGTGCTCAGTTTTGTGCCCCTCCCAATAGAGGTGCTGGAGCATGGAGCTAGTAGGAAATGAAGCTTGTGAAGGGTCTTGAGCACAAATCTGATGAGAAGCAGCTGAGAGAGCTGAGGTTGTTTAACTCGGAGAAAAGGAAGTTCAGGGGACACCTTATCACTCTCTACAACCATCTGAAAGGAGGGTATATCCAGGTGGAGGCCAGTCTCTTCTTGCAGGTAACAAGCAATAGGGTGAGAAAAAATTACTGCAGGTTGTACCAGGAGAGTTTTAAATTGGATATTAGGAAAAATTTCTTCCCAATAGTCACAAGCTTCCCAGGAATGCGGCTTGAGTTACCACGCCTGGAGGTATTTAAAGATATGTAGACACCTCACTTAGCAACATGGTTTAGTGATGGACTTCGTAGTGTTGGGTTAAGAGCTGAACTTAAGATCTTAGAGGCATTTTCCCACCTAAATAATCTATGATTTAAAACTCAAGCCCCCCATCTAATCAATGTTAGCAATGACACAAACTGAGCCAACAGTCTGCCATTATTCCAAAAAGAGTCAAAAGCTCTAATATCCTTCCTAATGAAGTCTGAGTAATAAAACACTCCCATAGTGTTTGTCATCTGTGTTGATCTAATGGATCAGCACCTTTTCTTTGTGCCCTGTAATCATCAGTTCTTGCCAAACAATCAAGGTGCATTTTGTCATATGTTCCAAGCTCTGAAGCTGCATTCCATTAAGGATTTTTAGAGTAGACAGTGATGTTCTGACAGAGGTATATTCCAAAAATACTCCAACCTTCTATTTCCCCTATGAAGAATTGGAGATGGTATAGAATGACATTCATCACATGGCCACAATGAAAAGAATCTGTAAGAAATGTCAACTTTATTAGCTCACCAGCTGTGCTTGCTGCCAAGCCAACCTCAGGTACCATTTCAGTTGCTCTATCACTCGTGACTTCCCTTTTCCCAGGAGAGAGCTTTCATTATCCTTCAAAGTATTGAAACATACTTGAGATACAATAGACAAAAAGGGCAGCAAATGCTAAGCAATGGCTGAGCTATAAGCATTTCTACTAAAACAGAATCAACATATTTGAGAGATCAGTGATCCTTTACTTCTTGAGCTGTAATAATAACAATTCAGAAAAAAAAAAAAATCCCACATTTCTCAGATCCCAGCCTTCCCACTTCCTGATGAATTTGCTCTCTTTCAAAATTAGATGATTGCACAAGTTATCCTGGCTTCCTGCCTTGCCACGGGTGCCCAGGTTTCTGGTGACTCTTTCCCCTATTTAATTTACACTACTGCCAAATTGCAAGACAGTTGTGAAGCCAGACAATTCAGCCAAAGCAGACATTAGAGCTTTTAACAATAGGAGTGGACCAGCTTTTCCTAGATTTGCTGGCATTGAGAAATCATACCAACAGAGTGATGCTTGCTCTATCCTAAACACTGATCCCTCTTGTGTCATCTACCATAAAAAAATTAACAGTTTAATCAATACCTTTTTTTAAATTGTTTTTTCCCAAAGACAGGAGGATGCCATTTCTTCCCACTGATTTTTGAGGGAGTCACAGGCCAGCTAATTGGTTGTATTTGATTTCTGATGACATGTGAGCTCCTTCTAGCAACACCCTACTGTCTGGGAGGAGAAGCAACGGTTTCTCCATGGTATTATTTAAAAAACTATGTAACCACTTTCATTTTGCCAAGAGAATATACTGAAAACTTGCTATACTATTTCATTCTGAATCTCACTGTGTTCCCTGGGAAGGATTCATATTTCACAATAAGTGTTGTCAGACTGAATTAACCTGAGAATGAAAAGAAAATATAGCAGAATGGAACTATAGAAAAATTATTCAAAATGTACCTCGTTTCAAATGGGAAGTAAAAACAGATTCAGGCACTGTAAAATGACTGAGTTTGTCTTGACCAAGATTTTACAGTGTATGCAAGCTAGAATTGGAGCCCAGCACCACCAGTTCTCACTTTTGCGACCTTTAGGACAAAAGATGTTTCAATCTGTCACACAAAGAATATACCTATGTATCAATCTAATTGGACCATGGGCAGGTTTTAAATCAAAAATATTGATTCCCTTATCCGCAGTAAAAGCCCTTATGCCAAAATACTATTTCTGCTTCTGAGACAGAAGGTAGAAACTAAAATTTGCTTAACAACACATGCATAACTATTTATCTTACTACATGACTATCTACTACAAATATAACTTCCAATTTGAAGCTGAGACAATTTTTTCAGATGTATTTAATTTTGCAAGTCGTGGTTTCATGTTCATTCAGAACATCACAGGTGTACTCTATTTTATATATTAGTAAGAAGCTTGGGGCTGTACAGCCCGTGCCAAAAAAAAAGTAATTATATATTTAATGTTTCCTGCCTGTGAGGTAGTCCCTCTTTTCTTACTTCAAATGTGCTATGTTTAGACAGAGGTGAGAAATATTTATGAGCCATCAGTAAATGTTCTGTATCTGGTTTTTATGTGGTATCATGCACCTTCAAAGACAAGTTTTCTGCCAGAGTGCTCATTCTGTTAGCTGTGTTCACTCTGGTTCAACTGAGATAGTCTTTTGACAAATATTATTTGCACTTCTGGTACTCTGCCTGTTGCTTGTAACTCTTCTTAAAGGGGAAAGGAATTGGTCTGACATTCAGGCTACAACAGAATTGTGACAGTTTTCTAATATAGATAAGATATTGATATAAAACCAAGAAGAATTGGAAATGAGTTAGTTGATTTCCGAAAAACAAGGGAAAAACCTCAGGAGAAGTTATCACTAAGTCCTAGTGACACTGATTACAGAGCCGGATGTGCATAGCTCATGCTCAAATCTGCCCAGTGAAGTTTTAAACTGATTGTTAACAAAGCAAGAGAGTGCCATTAAAATCATCAAAATAAATGGGAGAAGGATTCTTTTCTACTGACTATCAACAATCAGTGGAAGATACCAATGAGAACATTTTACTAGACAGTTTTGAAATGTATTTTAAGTTTCACTTGAAAGTACACACCAAATTGGCAACATTACTGCAGCATTATTTCTTTATGCTGATTTATTTGGGGTGCAGCAATGCCATGGGCTCTTCACAAACCCAAAGAGATTGGCCTGTGTCCACCTCTCTCCTGAAGACAGAGAAGAAAGAGATTCCTGTACACCTCTAAGAGCTTCACAGCCACCTTCTCTTGGTGTCACTAATGCTGGCCATTTCTGTGGTTATTTGGCAATGAGGTGGGAGTGTACAAGCAAGGCAGTAGGTAGGTGAGAAGAAAGGAGGCAAGCCAAGGAGGGGATTGCTCTCCAAACATCGTTGCCAAGGAATGAGGAAGTTCTGTTGATAAGCCTGTCAGTGCTGATTTTATTTCACTTTCTAGCCCTGTGAATATCCCCAAGGGACTACAGGACCTGAGGAATCTCTGTTCTCTTCATCAGGAAGGAAGGGAGTAGAGTGTACTGAAGATATTAGAGATGCCTCAAGTTACACAGGATTTCCAACAGATCTATGTGCTTCCTCTTCTGTTATTTCAGCCTGAAAAGTCCATTCACTCTTGCCACTGCCATGTCTAAGTGCTCCAAGATACTATTTCACCTTCTGTGTCTTCAAAGCCTCAGGCAGCTGAGAGACAACAGCTGAAGGGAAGTGACAAAAGAAACTGCTTTACTATGGTCCTTTCAGGAGCATTTCAGACTGGTGGATTCTATGGCTGTGGGAAAGGACTTTCTAAGACAGCAAGATTTTCCTGTTACTCTCAGAAGGGTGATATTCTGTCTCAGAAGAATAACTGCTGGTAGGTCCTTCAAAAATTAGAAAAAAGTTCTGCAAGAGCGATATTTTACAACAGTCCTGAGCAGAGAGATGCAATGTGTTAGGAACATTTTTGGTGCAGGCTCATCTGATTACTGGGTAATTTTTTTCCCCCCAGTTT